ATTTTTGTTATTATCTATTTCACAAACTTGTCATTTTGGGATTGTAAACTCTGGATGGTGATGTAATGAAATTTTAATGTATGGTGGTGTTGTTAWACTCTATTGCTATGAAACTCTATCTGCCATACCTCGTGTTTCCGCTTTAGCGGGGTGTGACAGACTTGGTATCAGAGCCATAGGTTATAGAGAACMCCGGTTTTTCTTAAAACCAAGCTATAACCAAATGTTTTCAAAAACAAAGTTACTAAGTATAACCAGAGGATGGAAGTCATGTTATAATAATCAAATTAAACAGAGCCTGATCACCTTTGTTTAGCTTAAGTATTGGGATAATAGATTCCCATCGGTTGAGCTTGAAATAAGGTTAAATTCAAAGATTCTATCTTAAACCTGAAAAGCATGATCGTGTGTGTTTGCATGAATCTTGATTATCCATCGCCTTAGATTAACTAGAAGCTCTGGTTGTGAAGTGAAGCAATATATATATAGAGCGCTAAGACAACCCGAGGGTCAACTCTGTATCTAAATACTTGGTAGCTAGACATAGGTAAAAGGGTATAGTCTCTATAGCCTCTGTATTCAAAAATCGCGCTATGCGTTAGGTAGCAAATTGTCTGGACATAGTGAGAATTGCGTTCTAGTTTTGATTAAGGACCACTATTTTATATAAGTGAAGAGCGTCCAGAAGCTCTGGTTAGAAGAACCAGAGGCTCTGGTCTATGAAAGGATTGACTTTGAGAGCCAGAAGCTCTGGTCTATGAAAGGATTGACTTCGAGAGCCAAAAGCTATGGTTAGAAGAACCAGAGGCTCTGGTCTATGAAAAGTTGATTTCGAGAGCCAGAAGCACTGGTTAGAAGAACCAGAGGCTCTGGTCTATGAAAGGGAAATATTTTCTAAGTATGAGGAACCAGAGATTAATGGAAGATGATCCATCTATTCACTATGTATGAGGAACCAGAAGGTCGATGNGTACACCTATGTAATGGCTTGTTTAATGGATTCGTTGCTCATGGGATTTATAAAGTGATGTAACGTGAACGGCGAATTACTAATTAAATTCTTGCATATAATTCTAAAAATGTTTGTGCATATAAAACCCGTGAACTCACCAACTCTTGTAGTTGACACTTGTTTTAACGTGCTTTTCAGGGGTAAGGCTCGTTGTGGCATTTAAAAGAAGTCGCGATTTGATCATCACCATCGAAATTTTTGTTATTATCTATTTCACAAACTTGTCATTTTGGGATTGTAAACTCTGGATGGTGATGTAATGAAATTTTAATGTATGGTGGTGTTGTTATACTCTATTGCTATGAAACTCTATMTKYCATACCTCGTGTTTCCGCTTTAGCGGGGTGTGACATAACAGTACATTATAACAACTATTATACTAACTTCGCTCCATATTACCATTACTTTTCGGCATGCTTTTAAAAGACGGTTGAGGCGTGCGCTTTGAGGCGCGCCTAAGGCCAGGCAGCCAAAAAAAGTTCTTGAGGCGTCGCCTCTCACTCCTTGTTTGGGATGCTCACCCTGCAGAGTAGAGGCGGTGGGTTTGGCTGTGAGGCAATAAGTGTGTGAGAGGCGTAAGCCTGTTTAAAGATGAGTTGAAGTGTTTTTATACATAGTGTGTAAGTCTTTGTTAGTGGTAGTGTCAGACCAGCTGGTGTATTCTCTCACAGTCTCAGTTTCTGTATTTGTTGTTATTGGTAGTGTCAGAAAAAAGTATCCCACTTTGAAAAACATTATATATATTATTCCTTACTTATCCAACTCTCTCACAGTCCCATCGGTGGTAGTGGCAGCTCAGCATAATATATATTTGTGTGTGTATATAGTTCGGTGGTAATGGCAGCAGCTCAGCATAATATATATATGTGTGTTATAGTCTGGTGGCAGGGGCAGCCTAGCATAGTGCATGGTGGTGGTGCCAATGTTTATCATATTCACACTCTCTCTCTTTCACAGTTCCACCATTGATAGTGGCAACCCAACATGGTATATAAATATGTTATCTGATGGTAGTGGCAGCCTCTAGCAGAGTGTGTATATATATGTAGTGCACAGTGGTAGTGTCAATATATATATATATATATATATATAATATTTTGAATTTTATTTATTTTTCGCCTCAAGCTTATGCCTCAGACTGCCTTGAGGCTTATGCCTTACGTACTTAGGGGAAAACGCCTTGATGCTTGTTTCCATTCTTTAAAACCTTGCTTTTCGGCAAGACTTTAGGAGCATCTGGACCACCCTCATGGCAATGGAACACCAATACTAGCCATAATGCACACCCTCATGGTGATCGAATACCATGCCAACTATGGCATTGTCAAGGGAACGTTGTAACTTGTAACAGCAATGCGAGAAACATACAGAAACAGCAAGGGAGACTCCCTTCCACACTAGCACAATATCACGCAATCCTCCCTTTTTCCCTCTCTGTATCACCAAGAGATCATTGTCTATCAAGATCATTCCTATGTAGGTTTAGGTGAGCATAACCACATTGTAAAAAGTTTCATCCGAATGCAAAATCTCCCACAACTGCAAGGTTATACGTAATTAAAATCAAATAATAGTTGGAACTTCTATTCTTACATCACCACAACCAACACATATATTGTCTATGAACAACACAGAACCTTCCAAGTATAGTAATGTTGAAATTTAGTAATCGTTAATCCAATCAAGATCATCCTATTACGAGCCCTTATGTTTTTTTCCTTTTTCCTTCTTTTTGTTCTTTTATCTTTCGTTACTCATGCAAAAGGAAGAAGGCTATATCAAGGTCATCTAGAATCATCTTATCAAACATATCTCGATCAATTGACGTAATTTCCTAATTCCTATATGCATGTTCCTCATGCTATCAAAAAAGAAGCATCGCCTCTCAATCTAATATCTGAAATCCAGGGCATTTTTCCAAAGTCACTATGACGTCATTGTTTATTCTTTTATTTGACAGTAGGTATGATTTGCTTCAAGGATTATTCTCAAAGGAAATAGGATAAAAATTTATAATGTTGCTGCTGATTGTGTAGTTGAGGTGGACGAATATTACAATTCAAGTTAGAATGAAATTTCAAAGACAGTTTTGTATGTTTTTTTTTCATCATCGACAGTTCTCTATACAAAAGATATTTAATGAATCAAGTGATAAAAATTATATATCAATAGTTTTAAAGCATTCATTACAACCATCATGGACTCATGAAGACTTCCATCTTTTGAGGAGAACGGAACTAGGTCCTTAGCCAAGAACCATGTTTGCTTCTGCACTTTTGAGTCGAAGTGTTGGACTGCTACAACACTGCCCCTATTAAAGAAGGGTGAGGTCCACTTCTGTATTTCTGATATGCTAGCCCGAACGACAAAAGATCCTAACAGCCGGGGATTTTCAGGGAGTATCCTTCTTCCTCTTCATCACATACAACATACAAGTTCCATAGAAATTTGACCATGAAACAAACCTTGGACTAGAGGTCCCTACAGAATAACCTAGATATAAGGAAAAACAAGGTGGGAAAATCTGGTTCAAAATGAGGACTCATCTGTACCTTAGAGGCTATGAGTACTAAGCTTCTGCTGTACTTTGTAATTTGTAGCTTTAAAAGGAAAGGTCTCAGTCTCTCAGATTATATACTCAAGAGTCGATGCATCAAACCTCCCCCTAGCTCATAAACTATTTTCCAAAGCAATTGTCTGATAAAATAATCCATGTAATTTCCCTACCAAAAGTTATTTGCTTGATGTATTTCAAAGTGAGGTCTTATAAGCAAATGGCAGATTGGACAAAAAATATCATGTGATTACCTGGATAAGAAAAATGAGCCTCTTTTTTAGTACAAGTAAAATGCACGATAAATCTTTCTATGCTAAAGTAACATAGCAACTGTCTAAGTAATATAGTCATATAGGTATGTAAGAAGCAACCCTCTCCAACATTTAAAAATGACTGATTTAGTCATTAAGCAAACACTTTGGACTGACAAGTTCACACAGCTTGACCCTCTCTAGTCCCTATTTTCATCTTCCTTTTAGACAGTGACAGTTCAGGTCAGGCACCTTATGACCGTGTATATATATATATATATATATATATATATATATAATAGAATATCTTATAGACAGAGGCAACAGCAGTATTGTAACACTAAGACATCACAAGAATTCAACTACTCACAGGATCGATGCCAATCCTGCCACCAGGAGCTAAAACATCATTAAGCCACTCAGTAGTATTAGGCACACCCCAGTTACCAGCACGCATGAGGGTCCAGCTTGAGCTCAACTGCTTCTCTGCCTGGTAAAGAAAATAAAATCAAAAGCAAATCAAACAGACATTTTTAGATGGCGACACCTTGCAATTTGTTGAGCTTAGAGCACTGGTAAACCTGGAGAAAATATCGCCCATCTGTCCAAAGAGCTGCCTTATGCCTTGTAACAATAGCAGTGCCGGCACTACCAGTAAAACCTGATATGTAGGCCCTTCTCATATAACACTCAGCAATAAATTCACTCTGTATCCATGGCAACCAACAATCACATTATGGATAATCCCAAAGAAGAAGCATTTGGACCACAGGATAAGGCACATTTAGCTTAATCATGTTAGCTAACTACATATCTTCATAGAGAGCCATGTCCATTATTACTCCAGCACATTTTCGTCATTTAACTTGCTTAAGCTCATAAAATAGCAAACTTGTGTGCTAAAACTGGACACTTGTCTTTTCAAAATTAAAGCCAGTCCTTGCTCCGTGGCACATCAGTTTCGGGGTATTTCCAAGAAATAGGTAATCTATACACCTGAACTATAATTTTTCATCAATTGCAGTCTACCTTTATACAAAAGGGCAAGCTTAATTGGATTTTACTGGCGACGAAACACAAAAGATGATTGTATATTTGTCATCGTTTTACAGGCTTACAGTTTTAGCAGAAGAGACTACATCAAAAATCATAAATGAAAAAAAAATGCAAAACGGGTTCAAAGTAAGTTTCAAAAACTAGTATAACTTTTTTAAAGAAACAACAAGTGCTTATCTTTCAAATCGAACATAGACGTAGCGATATAAACAAACCTGATGGGCATCCTGGGAAGGGATGATATATGCATCGATATTAATACCCGGCTTCCCGAATTGCTCACGAAGAGCAATAAGCTTCTGATCTTGCTCCATTCCTCTACTGTTACCGTTCTGATTCTTGTGCATCTCGGAAGAAGGTTTGGCTGTGATCGAATAAGAACCGGAAGAGCTGGACGAAGAATTTCGAATGATGAGCATTGGATTACTATGATTCACATGAATTGGGGGTCTCTTCGTGAAGTTGAGAGAACGGTAAATCGGGAGCGATAGAGAGAAAAAGCGGAGGCAGCGGTGGGAAGAAAGGGTGGTGGCGGGGGAAAGGTAGGCGGAGGGACGCGGCGTTGTAGAGAGAGATAGGCCTGACATTATCGCCGCTGCTGACTTCATTGGCAGAGGCGGAGAGATTGATTGATCGGTGAGGAGGAAAGAAACGGAAGATAAGGCAATAGTGCCGAAGAGTGGACTTTTGATGTTTTGTGAGATTAGGCGTAGAATGTGTTTAGATGGAAATGTAATAACCATCAAAGGAATTTAACTTTGATGACATTATCGGTGCATTTGGTGCACGGACAGGACAGGACAGTTGTTCTGCGTTTGATAAGACATGACAGGACAGGACAGGACAGCTGTTCAGCGTTTGGTAAGACATAACAGGACAAGACAGGACATGACAGGTTAAAATGACCAATTTACCCCCAATAACCTGTTTAGTGTTTTTTTAACTAAATAATCAATATAATAAATGCTTATAAATACTATTTAAAAATACCAAAAAATTTCCAAAATCAATCTTAATTAAAAACTCACATTAATAAATCAAAAGATTTAAACATCATATTCACAAACAAAAAGTGAAATGTTTACCAACAGATCTAAATACAAAAGATCGAATGTTTACAATTGTGTACCAAAAGACTTCAACACAAAAGATCAAATGTTTACAATTGTGTACCAAAAGACTTCAACACAAAAGATCAAATGTTTACAATTGTGTACCAAAAGACCTAAACACAAAAGTTCTAATGTTTACAATTGTGTACCAAAAGACTTCAACACAAAAGATCAAATGTTTAGCAACCAACATCACATGTCTAACTTTTTTAAGATAGTCGCCACAAATTTTGGCTTCAAAGTAGCGTTCATGCTATTCCATAAGCGTAGTTGAATCGGGTTATCGGCAAAGTACATGCTAATAGCAATAACTTGATCATCATCAAAACCCATGTTGGTTAACTCATCGGGCATAGTTTGTAAACCCGAAGTACCAACAACCGATACCAACTTACCCATTTCCTCGGATA